TGCTGCTGCTGCTGCTGCTACTAGGAAGAACCGCGGAATCGGTAAGAACCGCGAACCGAAGCGCATGGGAACCGAAACGCTTAGAACCGCCATTCCAGTTCATGTCGGTTCAGCCGAACCGAACCGGAACTTTCGTGAGCATCCCTTCAGCTCCCAGATCCCAGATTCATCGAAGAGAAAGCACCTCACCCACAAGAAATCTGGCACAGTAGGTTACCTGATCTTGGTTGCACACTCCACCGAAACCTAAGATACACTGGATTGCCCCACTGCGTTGACAGTGATCACAAACCGCCGCACAAACCAAGTGCGAGGAAGGTCGCTCGAAAATTCACAAAAAGGTCATTTTTGAAATATTCCAGTGCGGATCTGCTGCTTGCTTGATCAAGTTTGTGCTTCTTTCTTGTGCGCCCAGTGCTTTCCAAAGATTGCCTCCATTTACCTGGCCTTCATGCTTCCATTTCCGCTTGCCGCCGCTATGCCGCTACGCAGTTTGAATCTCCTAGCACTCGAAACTGTCCATACATTGGACAATTTGCACACTTCGCGCTCTATGGCACTTGCTTCTTTCTACCACATTGCACATTTGCATGTATTTCATGCACTTTCAAGTGTACAACCCAAGTGAAATCTCGCCCAAAAGGCCGTCAAGTATGGCTCCCCAGTGTGCGGTTTCATCAACGGATCTAGAAGCAAGAGGTTTTGGGGCTACCGCTAGCTAGCACAGCCGACCCTAGATATGTGCATTCATGTAATGTAGATTCTACCGTGGTCGATACTTCAATATTCCACCTGTTGTACGCAGTACAGCTTAGTAAAGCACGTGCCTCGTGAAATTGCGCCACCGTCGGCAGTTTGTCATCGCTAGCTTCATCAAGAAGACTATCCTTTCCGGACTGCTAAGTCTCACAATCCCCCCGTGTTGCCTGTAAAAGTGGCTGATCTTTGACACAGCTCAATGCCTTTCCAATCCGTTTGCTGCGCAAGCAAACAGAATCATTCAACACTACCTTGGTACAACGAGCACCACGACATTGTTGTCGCAAAATCAGTACTTGTATCTGTTTGGAAACATTACACATTCCCAACAGCACAATCGCCCTGCAACATGATACAGTCTGTTACCACCACAAACAGAAGCCCCTCAGCGTTTCTGCGGCATGGAAGGCTCTGGCACCAGCGATCAACAAGTCTCGGATGCTCTGCAGGCCTTCTTCCAATCATCTTCGGCGTTCTTTTCCAACTCCTGTCACAAGGACGGACGAGTCTGCCAAAACATGTTAGTCTGTGAGTCCTCGTACCATTGTAGAGATTCTGCAAAGCACCCCCAACGCCAAGCCCGAAGCCAGCCACCCTGCTGGAAAATCTCAATGCCTGCACGTCCTCTGGGACATCCTGACTGGCCTGGCGACACTCCAGCTTGCAATTCTGCCTAGCATGCCGACTACACCTGTGGGGTGTTCAAGTTGGTCGTGTCGGCGGTTCTCCTGGTGCTTTGTAGTGGTACTTGTTTTCTCTGAGCTGGTGGAAGTCCCTGCGGTGATATTATATTGCGGTGGCGGTGGTGGTACTTCTGTTGCCGCTGGTATGTGCTGGTACTGCTGGTAGTGCGGGGTGGTGTGGCGGCGATGGGGCATCAGGCATGCCATGTTTGCGCCTTGCGCATGATCTGGGCGATATATTTGGCTTCAGCCTCGTTGCCCCACTTCAGCCTCAGAACCAGCTCGGTCTCCCACGCATGCTCTCCCAACGAAAATGCCTGGGGCGGCAGCAAGAGGGTGTAGGCCTCGCCGGAATCCTCTGCCCGGCCTTCGTCGTGTCTACAGCTGCTGTCTTTTCACTCGCAGACCTCCTTTGCAAACTTTCCCAGCCTGTGCGGCCTATCCTGTGAACGTAGTCCTCTGCCGATTTCGGTGCCTTGGGATCTACGTTAACTTCTTGACGCTGTTTTCTCTTGTGCTTCACCCAACTTCGGGGGGTGGGTCAGCATCGAGAATCCACAGCTTAGACAGAGACGTCGTAGTTGACAACAACGGCGATGTTCCGTACGTCCAGCCCACCTGGACTGTGGCGGAACAGTGCAGAACGGTTACGTGCTGCCACATGAAACTGGTTTCACTCAATGTGGACTTGGGGAAAGGCGCGAGGCAAGGTCGGTGGCGACGCAGACTCGCGCCTGCGGAAAGCTGAAAGCTGTCCGAAGACGACGCGAAGCACATGAAGGAGTTGCTGCTCACAGCATCTCACGGCATATGCCACGCAGATCTCTTACGGCTCGTGCGGCTCCTCTCCGGACTTGAACTTCCAAAGAGCTTTGTCGCGCTGGTTCTGGTCCAGGTCGCCATGCAGCTCGGTAGCCGGCATGCCTTCGGAGAGGCCCGAGAGGCCGCTCAGCCAGTGCTTGAAAAGCATCCCAGGGGGCGCCTAACTCCGTGTCGCCCTCGAGATCCCAGCTCAAGGTTCCGCACTTCCTGCCATGCAGCCGGATTCCAAAATCCCGTAAACCTTAAAACAGAGCGTTCCGAAGTACAACAGCACACTCCTCGAAAAAACATCCAAGCCACAAGCTACAATCGTAGACACGATTCGGCCAAATTCGCCATGGGCCACTTCTTGGAGTTGCAGAACACCAGGCAGCCGGCTCCCTCGGGCAAGCCGCGCAGGATCTCCTTGAGCCTCGCTGTTCGCGAATTCCCAAGTTTAGGATAGCCTTCAGAACTCGTCGCTGAAGTTTATAAAGCTAGCGGCAGCGCTCTTTTGGAATTTTCTCGTGTTCCATCATATTCCATCATGAATCATACCGCTTTGTATTATCGCGCAACCTGTACAAGGCCAGGAAAACCTTCGCGCACCCTCCAAATCTATTCAAACCCGCTGCCCTGTAACTTCTCGAGACCCATTCTCTGTGAGCCTGACACTGGTGTGCTTCCTGCATCCGTTGCTACTTCAATGTTCTTGCTGCTCCGACGACCAGCTCTTCAAACTCTGTCCATATCCAATCAATCATGTTTGAACCCTTCTTGGAGGGATAAAGATTTGAGAGACTCGAGCAGGGCATGGTCAAATATCGTAGGAGACAAACGCATAAACAAAAAGACTGCTGCCAAGCTGATCGAGTTAGCTCTGCTTGCGCTGAGCAAAAACATGTTCAGGGTGGCGAAGGTCGCTGAGGGTGCCACGCTTCCAGCTTGTCAGAGTCGCGATCCACCATCTTCACGTGCTGCCTGAGTTGTTAAGGATCAAACGGTTGAACACTGCAGGTCCCAAGAAGCACTCGAGGCGAACAAACGATCAAAGCCAGAGCCCAGGTGCACGATATTTTTGTTGGTGGTGATCTCACCAGATCCAATTTGGATCTGCACAGGGTCCTGGCAGTTCCGATGCGTGTGTTTGCAGAGTATCTCCGTTCCAAACCCTCGACCTGATGAGCCATGGTGTCTTGGCATACCCGTCTAAACAAGGCATGCATACACACATACCTACATACATAACAAACGTACATGCATACATGCATACATACAGACAGACAGACAGACATACACACTTGCACAGATACAAACATGCGTGCATACATGAAAGTACCTACCTACACACTTGCCTACCTGCATACCAACTTACACAGACAAAAATCATGCATAGAAACATACAAACTTACATACACCATCCATCCATCCATCCATCCATCCATCCTTGCATGCAAACATCAACACATGCATGCGCACATGCAAATTCATCTGCGCATTGCTGTCTGCATGCCGGTCGTTTTATCTAGCAAAAACCAACTCGCCTGTTCATCCACACATGTTTCGTGCTGCATTGCGTGCACATCGCCTCATTTCAGATGATTTTTATTCAGGAATGATTGGACATACTCGTGTCTACTACAGTAACTTCACTAGTTGATGTAGGAGTGTAACTCAATGCTCCGGACTCTCAAGAACAAGAGGCAGCTTAGCAGAGGCCTTTGTTGTTAAGGCAACAGGCACTGAAAGCAAAGCGTGCAGCAGCCCAGATTGACGGTGATCCTTGATGTAGGTCTCCGCGAGTTTCTTGCACTCCTGACGAGTTTGAAGATGGCTTGGCAAGGGTGAGAGGCAACAGTGCTATGCACGCATAGTAGTTTCCCGCTTTCAGCGCAGCGACAGCAGAACCTTTGCTTACAGGCAGAGGTTCGGCAGTCCTGTGGCCAGGTGGCCGTAAACATGCAGGTTTGGCGGTCGTGCCAGGGGACCTGAAACTCTGCTTGGCCAACACGAGCAAATGGACATCTCTGCTCACGAAGTTGCCTCGTCCAAGACCTGTTTGATTTGTGGCTCGAAGCCCATGTCCTCAGCTGCAAGGACCACAGGCGAGATAGGTTAAAAGAAAGCAGAAACGACTGCTGATGCGTGCGACCGAGGCCAGATCGAGCATGCGATCTGCCTCGTCAATGATTGCAAACCGGACTTGGTCCAAACCTCGTTCGGATTGCAGGCTTCGGTGCTTCGGTTCCGGTTCTAGCCGGGGACTGAGGACCGCATTTCGCTCGGTGCCGGACGGACCTGCTTCTTCTGGACGAAATCATTCAGTCGACCGGGTGTGGCGATGAGGCAGTCCGGGCCCGTCTGTATTGCCTAAAGGCTAGGCAGGGTGGCTATGAGGATTAGCCCGTGCTCTGAGCCACCGACCCATTCTTGGTCTTTTCGGTTGGCGCCGCCGTAACAGCACGCAGCTGTTATCTGCACCTCCAAGCAGAACGACGCGGGGTAGCTTCACCAACACCCGCACAGTCACCATCAGCCATCAACGCTGGGGGCCAAGCTGGGCCACCGAACTTCTCGGCATCCGAATAAATCTGGTGACACCTCGGACTGCGTCTCAATGAGGAATGACATCTCGCCGATCAGAACCGAAAGCTGCTGTGTTCGAACTCTTAACCCACCTGCAACGAACCTGCAACGACCACTAGCCGCCACACAAGGTCCCATCGAAGTGGGGTGCGGGGAGTAACAGGAACCTGTTTGGGGAGTAACGGATACCATTTATGGGGGTCGTAACGGGAACGAGGGCTACTAGAAACAGGAACCGCACCAGAAGCGTAACAGGAACTGTCCCAGGAAAGCCAAGCAACCGAAACTATGCCGGAACTCTTGTGTGGGGGACCGGTTTTCGGTCCCCTACTTTGACACCATGAAGGCCTTATGCTGACGCCAATGTTTCGTTCGAGGCATATAGAGTTTGGGGTGGTTTGGGATATAGGATGCCAGTGGCAATACACTCCGTGTCTCTGAAACCACAAGTTGCTTCTTCGTGTTGTTTTTTGTCGAAGGAATATGGATGCTTTATCTGACATAAAGGTTTGTACTAATGCAGGTCGAAGTTGTGGTATTACGAGTCCTGTAGGTGGCGGGGCTAGGCTCGTGCACGCCATCGTGGACTGACCAGCGCCAGCTTGGCTTGTTTTCGGGGTTGAGGATTTAGGCTTGCAGGTTTTCGGAATCTGCACCTCTAGAGGTATTTAGGAGGTTCGCAATGCTATTTCGGAGCGTTAATGGCAACACCGATGCTGTAGCCATCGGAAATTCAGGACAAAGGTTGCTGTGGACATATGAGGTCAGTTTCTAGTGCTACATGACATGATGGTTTGAAGCCGTGCAAGTGGGTATTACAGGAACTGGTGGTTGCTGTTACGGGATCGGGCCCCGTTCCTGTTACGGCTTCCCGTTACCGACATTCTGTCCATACGGCAAACACTCCACCGAATTGAAGTGCCCGCCCAGGCACAGTTCTCGCGTCGGCGTCATGCACAGAAGTGCCGGCCTTGGCGGCGCAAAACGTCGTGACACATGCATGGGCAGCGTGATTGGCACGTGAGGCTGCGGCCCCTTCTTGGTGTCAACTTCCTGAGCTTTCTTGAGCTTCCTGGCACAGCACGTCAAGTCCAGGCGCAAGCGAACGCAGATGGGCCGCAGGTGCCTGAGCTTTACGAAACCAGGGAGAAGGAAGGCCAAGGTCTTGCCGGAGCCGGTCTTTGCGACGCCTCCCAGCTCGAAGGCGACGACACAAATCACTCCTCCTGGCCCTCGCATGCCCTGGCCCTCTCGCCTACCAAGTCCTTCCCAGACTGCAGCACTGCCCAGGCATAGGCCTGGCGAAAGTCCAACCGATGCCCCTCCCAAACCTTGCCGCGACTTTTTGTATTCGTCGCCGGAGGCGAATCTGTGCCACGGAGACACCAGCTGAACAGGGTCTCCGTCTGGACAATTGTCTCGGACGCACAGAAAGGATCGTTCTAAGTTTCAGTTGAAAAAGATGCGGAGTAATTAAGAAGAAGAGGTGGAAAATGCGTCTGCCCGTCCGTAAGCACAATCATCTAACACCTGTGCCACCGGGCGGTGGCAAGCATGGGAACGTGCAATTAGCACAAGCTCCTGACTGCATCGGGAAACTGGAACCAAACACAGAGGATACGCTGCTCCTCCATTCCCAGCTGCAGTAGAGCAATGGTATAAAACAATTGATCCTCACCGCTGTGAGATGCATGAGCCCTGCCACCGACCATCCGTTGCTTAGATGAGGTTCAACGTTTTGGTCCCAAGTAACACGGATGAAGCAGGTCTCACGGAACAAAGACTTCAGCACAATGCCACGACATTGCCACAGCATATCCGATTTCGGGTGAAGTGTGCGACAGTGTGCGGCCTGTCAGGCGGCCCGTAAATGCAACTTCCTCAGGTTCCTCACAACCGCAGAGTGACATGCTTCGATAGAGCACCTGAGCGAAAACTTGCTAAGGGGTGCATCTGCGTTGCAAGTTCAGGCACCAAAACGCATGGAACAAAATCTCTCACATCGCCAGATTAACATGATGAGAAGTGGCGGCAAAGGATCCCTGCCAAGACGCGTCCCAACACCCGCATATAGTCGCCCACTCGCCCTTGAATAATCACCTGCGGCGGTCGTGGAGCTTGGCACTTGGCTTCAAATCCGAGCGCTGATACCAGGAGAGTACCTTCTCCAGGAAAGCCGTGCATGTCAGATTGCACATGATCACCAGCAGCAGATGGAAGCGAACTGATCTGGGCATTGCTGGACAGTACCTTGCAGGTCTTGCAGGTGCAGGGGGGAAGGCCAGAGCCACACATAAACTCAAGAAGAGTCCCAAGTGCTCATCTCGCGTCCATGGATCGGAGTCAGTGACGTCCTGGCAAGTTGGCAGCAGTGCTATCACACACAGCTCTGGCCAGAGCTACGGTGCTCCTCGAAGACGAGCTTGAACAAGCGAGTCATCCAGTTTGGACTGCTCAACAGTAAGAATGTCCTTGGAACTCACGCAATCTGAGAATCTGAATCGCAAAACCCTGTGACATCATGTCCCGTGCATGGCAAGTCTCAGCAGCCCCAGGTTCACAGCCACCAGGGCCTTGTTCTCCAAGGCCGGTACATGCACAGACACCGCAGGAAAGCTTCAGCGAGGCTTCAAGACAAGCTCGAACAGCACTGCCGGGTAACGCATCACAACTCATGGATCAGTGACCAGGGTGAAGCGCTCTACCCCTTAATCCTCGAAAGCAACTATCAGTGCCGGTAGAGCCGTGTACTGGATGATAGTATTCAACTTTGTGGGTTGTGGCGCGGATCTTGACATCGCACACCTCTGTTTACGGGACGTAGGAATGACCAGGGGGGGAACGGGAATGCAGAGGTGGACGAGGGCCGTTCCCCTCCTTCCAAATCAGCCAAGGACTGCGTGTGGCGAACAGCCTTGGAATCTTTGATTCCTGCCCGACTTAGCCAGGCACTGTCCCTTCGGAGGCAGCTCGTGCCCCGGCCGAAGCAGTCAGCGGTTCCCTCCTTCCCTTCTACGAACCTTTTCCCCACCCCCACCACAACAATTGAATTTTGGTTTCCAGGCCCACGACCAGAGATTCAGACCGCGGTCCTGATTTGCTGACAAAACCACCATTCCACGGCCGTTCCTCCAGCAAACCCTCCCCTGCCCCCCCCTTGTGCACTGTGAACCTGCCAATTGTTTGGGCCCTGATGCGGAGACCACTCTTCACCCGCGACCGGGCGGAGTTGGACGACGCGAAGCGTTTACAAGTACAACGGTGCGTTTCTCGACTCTGGGGCACGTGCCATCAGCACCTCGGATGGACGGCTCGGGTGTAGAGCACACCGGTCTGAGTTTTGCATCTGGACAGCCGAAGGGCCAAATTCGTATACCAGGGAAGTCGGAAGACATCCCCGAAGGAGTACACGACGGCTGACCAGAAGAGTTGAAAGGTGTACCTCAGAATCTCAGATCGATGTGACAATGCAGTATGCATGCAACTCTGCAGCGAGGATGCGGTTTTTCTGCCAAGGCGCGTGAAGAAAAGGGTAGTGATCTCCCAGTTCCGGTTCAGTTTCCACCACTGCGTAATGCGAACCTTGTGAACCTGGGTTCATTGGCACAGATACCGGCAGTTGCCACGTGCGCTTCCAAGAAATCGAACAGCGCCCATGGCCATGCTCAAGCAGATTACACTCTACGACTCATGAAGATCGACCAGGATATACCAGGATGATCCAGGATGTGGCACATTGCAGACATGTGGCAGGGAATGGCACATACTCCTCGTCCGATGTTATGATGTTCCAGTTCACTTCCAGGAAGAGCGCATTCAGCCCGAGCATACCCACGACAGAGAGCACCTGCTGCTGATTTTCAGAGCAGATCCGGGTCAGAAGCCCGGCGCATGCCTCCGAAGTGACGGATTCTTGAAATCTTGTTAGAGCGAAGGCACTGTGAAGCCCGAAAAGAGCGAGGAGGTTGGACGGCTGGTGGCGAGCACGGGAGCAGGCCTGAAAATAAGCGCGATAATGCAATGATAGAGTCAGAGGTCGGCGCATGAAGAAGCTGGCAAGCCTTGCCAAACTCATCGCCCAGGAAAGGCTCAGGAATCCGATCATGTCCTTGCACAAGCAAACTTGAGAGAACTGGAGTCTTCGTGATGCACTCTGACCGCCCGCCGCCCTACAGTAATTGCCTTGTTCCCACATTATCCTGTTGGTGCTACACGCTTTGTCATCCTCAGCTCTGCATGAGGCGAGCCTGGAAGTAGGCCGCCATCATGGACTGCGAGATGCCTGTCAGCCGCGTACTGTGCGTCGAGTGACTCTGTGTGGCATGAATGACTCTGTGTGCAGGACAAGTCTGTCACATTCTCTGCTCGTGGCCATGTTCTCCCAAAGCTATATGGAGCGTCCGTCCCAGACATTCCAAGATACCGTGCCAGTAGGTCTTGAACTTCAGCACCGAGTTCAACAGTCCGTAGTGGACACCTAAGCCACGAAGACACGGCGAGGACACAGAGGTCGAACGAGCTGGCCATTCCCAAAGCAACAAAGGCACAGTATTTGTATCCAGCGAAGGACGTTGCCAGCGCGCCTGACAAGCTGAGAGGTGTTTGCGGCACGCACTCCCAGCGAAAAACTGGCCCCTCTGCCTGCTCTGCCCGGCCTCTGCCCTCGCGGAGGAGGTCCGCAATGGGTGCCACACTGGGCCGACAGGTGGTGAACGGGGCGACCACAGTCGCCGAGGTGGCCGAGCTCAGGGCCATCCTGGGAACGACGAAGAACACGAGACAGACGGAGAGCAGCGACGATTTGTGTCCGCTTGCGATGGATCCTCTGCTCTCGCCAAGGTGCCCGACGTGTGCTGTGCGCAAGGCACCAGAGTCGTTTCCACCGTCGCCAACCATGGCGCCTCGGTGTCGACACGCAGAAGCCTGTGGACAGTCAGGATACGTGCGGCTTCTTGGACTTGTGATACGTTATCCGCAAGTCCACGACGGCCCGTGCATTCCGAGGTGCAGATGAGGCCTTGGGACATGAAGCCTTCCACCACCTTGGAGCCCGCAAAGCGCATGAAGGAAGAGAGCTCAGCAGGTTCACGATGCAACTGTCACTCGTTGCATGTTATGAGACTGGACCTGAACCAACTCAGGCCATTCGTCTCAGATCTCTTGTGCCCTGCCGGGCGCCCTGCACTGATCTTGCCATTTGGCGTCATGCGGGCGAAGATGCGGATGGAGGTGAGCAGCTCCCACAGAAGAGATGTGTGGCCTTGATGACCGCGCATGATCACACGTGTCAGGAAGCGACATTGGAGCAACTGCACGCAACATGTGCCAGGCCTTTGCCGCTTCCAAGCACCCTGCCTTAACTGTCAATGGAGGTGCTGTCGATATGTGTCGGTGAAACATGTCTGGCTCTTCTCAGACACAAGAGCCTGCTGAGACTGCTAGCACGAGCAGAAAGGTCTCGAGCAAGTTCGTGGAGCTTTGATGATTTGTGCTTTCAAGCTGCCCTTCTTCAATGAGGACAGGCGGGAGCCCAGCAACACTCGGCGCAGGTCCGGCGAGCACTGCCTTGTCACATGCAAGCCAAAGAAAGAGCTAGGATGGCAAAACGAGACAACCGGATGCTGGCAGAGATGCTGTGCTGCAAGCCATTCAAAGGCTTGCTGAGTCACCGCCAGTTCGCACCATTCAAAGAGTCGTGATAGCACTATCTCCTGCCAGGCGCTGCCGCACATGCCACCGCCTTTCGGAAAGCCCGCCGAAATTGGAACGGAGCCGACCGCCGGGTGGCTTTCAAGCTTGAGAGTTCATGCAGCTGATCTGGCCTTGCACCCTAAATCCGAACATCAGACACAAAGCTTAAGCCCCTCAACGACCGAGCCTAGGTCGTCACAGGCTACGCCGCAGTATGCCGCAGTACATGATATTGACACCGGAGCCGGTGTGATCGGTCTTTCATTTGTAGTCAGCGGAAAGCCATCACTTTGGCAATCGACAACTTTAACTAAGCTCCTTGACTCTTAACAACCCAAGATGCACGCACTTGTCACTTGTCCGTCCTCTGTCGAGAAAACGAAATCTTCATCCACTGTCTCTTCACCTTTCAGGATGGGCTGTCAGACGGGCAAGATGCAACATCTCCAAGGATTGAACTTGCAGATTTCAATCCTTTCGAAACAAGCCTTACGTTTCTATCACAGCCCGAGCCAATGCTCACGCTGCTGATTGCATTTGCTGCACATACCTGCGTAGCTTTGTCGCCTGCAATGGGGATTTTCCCGCCTGCATTTTGCACCTCCTCCAGCTGCGGCCACGAACAGCGCCTAGCTTCGCTGCGGGCACTCACAGAAAAAGCACGCGGATGCAGGCTGAGTGACGCTGCGCGGTTCCCGCCTGGAGATCTCGGGCTCCTGCGCTTCGTGCGCACGTCTCTTGGCAGCCTTAGGTCGAATCTCGTTTCGTCACTGCAACCCTCAGAAATGTACGTGTGAGCCCGCCTTCATGGTGGCTTCCCCGCGCGCACCAGCTGCAGCTCCTCGGATATTGCAAGCCGGACGACGTAACCAAAGAGCTTTGTGTTGTCATGGCCTCCCCTCCACTGCTTGTAGTTCTTGCGCCAGGTCAGCCATTCGTTGCCCAAGAGGATTTCGTTCAAGCCTCCATGGGGCGCAGAGGCTGGATCTCGTTGCGAAAGCGCAAAATTCGCAAAATCAGAGCACCCCAGCGAGGATTGGGCCTTTCAGATCTTCCCCGACGCACCTGCTGCAACTCCAAACAGATGGTGCGGCACGCATGCCGTTGTGCTGCAATCTCCAGCAAGGTTGACAGCATATGCATGCGAGTTCAAGGCAATCGACAGGTTCACCTTCCGGCTCGCTTCCTGCCCGCCTCATACTCTCGCCTCTCCGAGCTTCTTTTGGGATTCTAGACTTTAACAACTTCAGAAGCCCTACGGTACTACTACCCTGCTCGACCGCTGCGTTTACGAGTCTACCCTGCCCATGTGGAAAAGGGATGATGCTCATGATGCTCCCCCCTGCGAGCCAAGCATTGGCTCCAGCTGTCCATATCCCACACCGATCCCGCCAGAGCCCCTCAATATTCCTCTTATGATGCTCGTGCTTGGCGGTGCGACGTGCTGATGGTTGTGGGGGGGGCCGACCGTGCCGAAAGACCCTCTGTAACTTTTGAACATCGGTGCTGGCAGTGCCCAAAACCGGCCTCCAACAAACAGCGGTGTGGCCGGTGCTGTTCTTTTCCATGTCTCCCAAAAGAACTGGCAGCCCCGGTGCCGCAAGTTTTATCTCCTGCAGCGGATGTGCTGCAAACACCGGATGTATGACTGATCGGCACTGCTAGAAATCTTAGGTGTACCTTCGTCCTGCTACCCTCCCAGCATCAGAGCGTAACGTATCGCGAATGTCGCAGCCAACAAGTTAGCCTCTGACGACACACTGGAGTACACATCCTTGGCAATGGACACCGCCGTGCCGGCCGCATCTCCGGTGATCATGACCTGGACCCGTTTAAATTCTTGCCACATCATAGTCGTAATATGTATTATCAGATCGCAGCGCTCTGAGGAGCTTGAAGTACACCTATGGCTGTCAGGCCACACTCCGGACATCGCCAGCACGGAGGCGGAGGATGGTCTCAGCAGTGTCTGGCCGAGGTGGATTCTTGAACAGAAGGCATCCTGACAGCCAGAGCTCGGAAAGGCTGGAGAACAGTGCAGCGCAGCTCCTGGCCTAGCAAAGTCAAATCCTTCTCCACGTCCGCCCGAGTTTGCACCTTGGGTGAAACACGCGCATGGCCGAGTGTTTTTTGGGATGCAAACATTCAATGCCTGCTATTCCAGTGAATTGAGGTTCAGAAAAAGAATCCGTTGGTCTGGGCCGCGTTGAAACATTCTGGGAGATCCAGCAAGGCGTGCGCGCTTTCTTCTGCTGATGCTGGGGCCCTAGACCCATGCTCCATTGACTACGTTGACTCCGGCTCTGAAATCCAGCGCAAACAGGACCAGCGAAGATTGAACATGCTTGAACAACCGCGGTAGACATCCCACCCTGAAGGCGTGTTGAACATGAAAACTGTGTCGCAAGCCAGAACACCACCTCGCCACCTTTCAAAGGTCGGGCCGCCAAACCCAAGACCTCGGTTTCACGACACTGACAAACTCCGGCCAAGCTATCACAACCAAAAAACAAGAAGACAAGAAGACCAAAATGCTTTCTGTCGGTGGCAGCAGCAACAGCAGCCAAGAGAAGAAGCCGCAGCAGCAGCAGCAGCAGCAGCAGCAGCAGAACCAGCGTGAGCGGTAACGAGTGGTACTAGTGGCACGCTTGGTGGTGGTACTGGTGGTACTAGTAGTACTAGTGCCGTGGTACTTGTTGGTAGCAGTTGTAGTAGTAGTAGTCGTCGTCGTCGTCGTCGTCGTGGTGGTGGTGGTGGTAGTAGTAGTAGTAGTAGTAGTAAACGCAGAAGCAAAGAGTAGTGGTGGTAGTAGTAGTACTACTACTACTACTACTACTAGTGCAGTAGCAGCAGTAGCAGTAGTAAGTAGCAGCAGCAGAAGTCGTGGTAGTACTAGTGCTGCTACTAATCATAAAAATAATAGTCGTAACTACTACACTACTCGGACCAGAACCATTTCCAGAACCAGTACTGGTGCTAGTGCTGCTGCTAGCAGTAACAGTACAGTAATAGTAGCAATAATAGTAACAGTAATACTGGTACTACTCGGAGCTTGTCGTTTGCACACGCCACGCGCCGCAGCGACCTCGCAAAGCTCAAAATTCGTGGCAGGCGCGATGCAGTAAAATCTGCACTTTTGACGCAAAATGCTACCCTCTCGGGTCTTGGCCATACGCCGAAGGCTCATTATGCCAACACCCTTAAAAGAGAAGCTGGCTGCCAAACCCAAACCCTAAACCGAGATGTTGGTTGTTGAGAAGCTCTTTAACCCTGAAAGGAGATGTTGGTTGCCACACCCTGGATGTCAAACCCAAAAACCTAAAAGGAGATGACTTGCTTGCGGAATCTCAAGGAGAGGACGGTTGCCAAACCCAAAACCCTAAAAGGAGATGTTGGTTGACAAACCCTCTTTTAGGAGATGTCGGTTGACAACCCGCCGTACCCAAAGGCCCTACAAGGAGATGTTACTTGAAACCCAAACCCAAAACGCAGGATGTTGATTGCGAGTCCTAGAGTCCTAGAGCCCCAAAGGGACATGGTGGTTGCCAAATCCCAAACCCAATAAAGAGATGTTGATGGCTGAACCACATGATACGCGCTGTAGCGCATACAGTAGGGCTTGAGGGGGCAGAGCAAACAGCTCATGTTGGCAAAGGGGCTTGTTCTGGGCATAGGGTGGGCGTGGTGTAACTAGTACTAGCTCTAGCAGACTCTAGCAGCCGCAGCACAGCAGCAGCAGCAGCAGCGGCAGCCGCAGCACAGCGGCAGCAGCAGCAGCAGCAGCAGCAGCAGTAGCAATCGCCGGTGGAAACCCTCTTGCCAGATCAGCAGCATACATGCCCGCGAAGGCGTGGGCTTCGGCAACCTCACAGAGGAACCGAGGGAGGGCGGAGGGAGAAAGAGAGAGAGAGAGAGACAGCTTGCGCTGGCAAGGCGATGGGAACCTACGTTGTTCCACCCCTGAAGGATCCCGGCAAAGTAAGCACTAATGAAGAGAAGGAAGGACAATCACCCTGGACAATCAGCAAAAAGAACTTCGAAATGCAAGCACATACAATACACGAGGTGAACACATGGACGGTCATTGCAGTCCTTTTATTGCTGCCAAGTGGGGCTTGTAACACCAATGCTGCAAGCAGGAAGTTGTTGACACCCGCAATACCTTAGACCCTGAGGCCCAACCCCACAAGCGTAATCCCGAAAATGTCGGGAAAGACGTAGAGAACAGGAAAGAAGCTGCCGGCCCGTCGGCCACCCTTTCCAGCACCAGCCCGGCCATCAATCCCCGCGATTCTGCACACTCGATGTTTGCAGCGCCTGCACGAAGTTCTCCGGCACCGAGCTCGGCCGACACTTGCGCAGAATGTGCTCGAAGCTGCCTTTACAGTAGATGCCTTGGACTCAGCATTTACTTTCTTGTCACTCTGAGGATCCTAGAGCGTTGCCATGTTGCAGCTTGTAGCAACGTGCGGCGCCGCTGCAAAACCACCAAGGCCGGAGCCTTGCTCGCCACTGGGATGATGCTTCACCACGGCACTCCTGACGGTGCCGGCAGTCATGGCACCATGACAAGTTAGTATTACTAGTTATACACCTTACTACTCAGCCTCGGCTTGTGGGAGCGTCCCTCCATGAAAAAAGGTCGCGTAGTTGCTCTGGCAACTCGGAAAGAAATATTTTGTAACTGGAGGTCCTAAAGATCCAAAGGCATTAGCTCTAAATTCAATTCCAAGTTCGATCCCGAGTCAGTCATTTCTGCCAGGGCTCATCGTCATGGTGCTATGGGAGAAATCAAAACGCTTCCTCGGAGAAGCCACGGTGTGCAAGCGGCATGAAACAAGAATGAAAGCCTCAGCCGAGCCACAGGATTTCCAGTCGATGCCCTTCGAAAGAGCCGCCAGATGGGCTTCGGACATCGCGCTGCGAGGCCAGCGACCATCCGGAGGCTTTGAACATGTTCCTTGGCTGCGGTGTCCGTCCCTGCACCCAGAACATCCCAGAACTACCTACCAAGAAAGTAGACCTTCGTCGCTTTGAGGCAAGCATCACCTCGACAGCATTTCCAACAACACCTGCAAAGCACATCACTTATTCACCCCTTGCAACCACTCTTGTGTTTTGTAACCATTTTGGCTAGCCTGCTTCGCTTTGCGAGAAGGGCGACAGCGAATGCGCGCTCGCCAAGCCACACAAAATGTGGAGGTCCTAAGTTCAAAAGGGCTGACAGCAGGACATCCCCCGTCGTCCCACGCACCCCACTGGCTGCCACCCACTCTGCTGCCAAGGCATCCCACTTCGACTTCTGAGGTTCTGCCGCCAGTCGCGGACTCGTGGCCGTGGCGGCAGCGAGCGGTGAGGAGAAAGGGCTTTGGGAACCTACGACACGTCGGCGCGCAAACATCGCCTCTTAACTTCGATGTGGCCTTGAAGTCCCGGGTCGGTGCCGTCCATCTCCACACAGTGCACTCCAAAGAACTCCAGACCTCAGTCTAAGAGCCCACACCAAGTCTCTAAATGCATCCTGCGTGCTGGTGCAGCTGGGGGTGGGGCCGCTGGTTGTCAAGGTGCCCGTTTTATCAAAGCAAGCAACCCGAACCTGCAATTGAAGGATTTCCCACAGTGGACTGTGACATCCGGTCCAAGGGTTGCATCGTATCGCTTTCAGTGCTGGCCTTCCCGGCCAAGGCGATGCGCTTCGGCACGACGCAGAAGATGCTGCAAGCCTTCTCCTTGAAGACTCTTCCGTCTGTTTGCGAATTCACGGCGCACGGGCTTGTCAGTCAAGTGATGTGGCTTGTGGCCGGGCTTGTCCTTCAGCCGCTTCGCCGAAATCACCTGGCAATCCGAGGAATGCAGCTTAAGGGGAGTCGTTTGAGACCATCTGTTCCAAACTGTCTTACTCTCCTACGCTTGTGAGTGTAACAGAGACCATTGGCAGAAGCGGACAGGCTTAGCCGGCCGACTGCGAAAGCAGATGAATGCGAACACCGTCTCAATAAATGCTGTACGGTTCGGCGATCTTCACACCAGAGTATGAACGCCAAATGACGTAGATTTCATAACCTCCCAGCATCGGGAACCCCCAGGCAGAATTTGAGTTCGACGGCGTTTGCAAGGGTCTTCGGGTCCTGCAAGCCTTCCAACGGCCAAACGAACTTCTCGAAGCGACCCGGCCGAAACAACCAGAGCAAGAAATTGAAGACCAAAGCAATCATTGCACTGACTTTGAAGCAATTGCTTCAGGGATTAACCTGGATTTCTTGCTTAAGCTGGAACGCTGTCACTGTCGGTGGCCTGGCCCACGGAGAGCACGATGTGCAGCATGGTCGGCAGAACGCAGGAGCATGTGAAGACCCCACTGGCCCAGGTGGCCGTCAGGGGCAGCTTCCTATTTAGAAACAGGAGCAGAAAAGCCCAAGCTTTGGAACTTGAAGGTTTTAGCAGAGTGCCTTCTAGTTTGTCCTTGTATCTGCCAAGAAGCTGTTGCACTGCGTAGCGAACATACATGACTCTCATCAACTTGACCACAAGGGCAAAAGCATAGATGATGAGCAGGAAAAAAACAACCTCGGATACAGCCATCGTGTTCACGAAGCTGCCAAGTGCTTGTCAGCAGGCGAAGCACGCTCAGCTGCTCGTCATACTTGAACACCAATTTTGGAGGGTACAAGATCAAAAGAAGCAGCTGCCCCTTCCTTGGCACAGAACTGGATAGACGGTACCCTTTAGTGCTGCTCACGCGTTGTCAGGCTGCCCTCCCACTACTGGTACTTCGGGTGCTGCCATGCATCTGCGTGTGGATGCCAGTATGTGTGGCCAGTGCCCAAGTCTCATCATCGACAACTTGCAGTACTGACGTTCCTGCCTCGACACCGAGAATCAACTCCGACCACAACGCTTGCCCTCGGGCTTGCTACTTCCAAGTTCTGAGCCCATGACAACCAGCGAATGCTTTGCTGGAAATCGGAATCCGGGCCTCGGCGGGCTGCTCCACTTCAGCAATCTGAACTGGGAACCGTTGCAGGCAGTGCCAGAAAAAAAGGCTCCAAGCGAACTTCCACTAGCTTCCGACTTCCCTGCTTTGGACAAGTGGCGGGTCATCCGGAAGCTTCTCTACCTTACAGCGAGTTCCGAGATACTCGGAACATGAATCTGAACCAGAACGCAGGGAAACCGCACTGCTACGTTTAGGATGCGGTTTTGAGGCGGTTGACCGGAGGTGCCGCCGAGGTGCCGGTGCCAGGCGCTGCACGGGCATGGACTCGCCAGTCAGAGTCGACTCATCGCAGACCGCCGCTCCGCGTAGCAACAGCAGGTCACAAGGGACCTCACTTTTTTCCGATAGCGTGCAACCTCTCAGCAGAAGGCTAAGGCAATCACAGGGCCAGGATGGACCTTGAGGATGTCGCCGGGGACAAGCTCGTTGGCGTCGACCTGTACAATTTTGACTTTGCTCACAAACTAGGCGATTGAAAACTCCAGACCTCGACCACCTGGCCGTCTCGAAGTACGTGGGCGGTCAGCTGCTGTTCCTGGGCTACGGCACGGACATCGCCGAAGATATGGACATAGAGTGATCCGCCCCAGCCAAGACTCCATCATCGATTTGATGGACTGCTGACTCGCAAGTCTGACAGACGTGTTGAAGAAGCCAGAAATGACAGCAATGGTCATGGCGATGATGGTGTAGTGCCAGTAGGAGAACCAGACCTCAGTGACAGAGCGCAGCCTGTCGCTTGCCAGGCCTGGCAAAGTGCCTCTCGCAGCCGAAGCGGCACAGACCGCGTAGATGGCGAACTGGTATAAGAAGAAGAGCGTACTGAACTCCTCGGTGAGCGCCTGGGTCCATCCGTCGACTTCAAAGGGAATCCGGTTCGGCCCGGAGCTCCTCCAAGGAGGAGGCCCGACTTCATCTCTGACTCAAAACGCCCATAGTTTTTAAAGTCCCTAAATCCCAAACCCCTCCCCTCCTGTACATCTCTTCGACAGACTTGAAGCCTTGGGGCGACGGGCCTTTCGTCCTGAGCAGGGTCTGCAAGTCCCCTTCCACACAAAAGGCTCTCTGCTGAAGGCCAGGCCTCAGCCCCCCTTCTGCTAGCAGCGCATCGAAGGCCGCATGACCTTTCCTCAGACCTTGAAGATGCAAGACTGCCATGCACACCCAAAAGAAGCATTGCTATCTTGACAGAGACTTTCACGAGTCTGCAGATTTCCGACAAGTCAGAAATTCTTCCGCGAGGTGCTTGTGCTGGGATCGTGCTGCAAAAAGCCGTCGGTGACAGGATCCTAGGCGTTCAAGCTTGTGGCAACATGTGGCAACAGAGGGAGCAACAGAGGGAGCAACAGAGGGAGAGCGGCCAGCCTTTCTGTCTCCTTTCCCCGATCTCTCGATCCCTGTTAGGAACTTGCGGCGAATATTCCTACGCGACCCAGCAAAGGGTCCAAAGGCCCGGGTCAACTCCAGTGCTCCGAAGGTTTGACCGACAGCCTGTTGGCTGCGAAATGCTGCGAGTAAACTCGGGCTCTGGCGTACACATATCTCTGGCAGCGAAACCTTGCCGCAGGCACTTGGTTGTAAAGGCTGCATCTCTTGCTGTGCTTCAAACCCAGCAGCTTTCTGGCTGTCGCCGAGAGGCTCCACGTACCAGAGCTTGCTGGAATGGTCGTACTTTAGAGGAATTGTCTGGGATGATGCACCGGACAGCGATAGAAAGCCGCCCGGCAGATCCTGAAACGCGACGAGTTGCATTGCAGAAAACAACGTGTTCTCGTCCATGTTCAATGGAGAAGGCCTTTGCTCGAAGGAGTTTGGCCACCAAGCCCAGCACCTAGTGCCAGCAAAACAGTGAGACACCCCAGGTCGACACTGCGCGAGTGCCGACCTGTAGGCCAACGCCCAATGAATTTGACAGTCCATGCATCTGCCGAGAAGTTCACACGCTTCCAGCCTTCTTTCGCAAGGCCAATGTCCGCGAGTATCCACTGCTAATTGTCTCCTAGAGTTTCACATACAGGGGCGGCCCGCATCGAGCCGTCTGAAGGCAGAAGGGTGCTGTCTAACACACACTCTCCAACACCTCTCTTTCCACAGTCGGTGCAATGTCCTGACGTTCCTGCACGGACACACAGATGACCGCCGCCTTCCAAGAGTCATAGCCAACTTCAGCAGAAACTTACCTACCAGGAGGTCTTGGAGCACACTGCAACTACCACTGTTTTGCGCAGAAGGATTCTGCGTTCCTAAGCCTGAGGCTTCAGAATGGCAAGGTGCTGTTCGACTCAAACGTGCAGAAATGCGCACAGGGCCTTGCGGAATGGTGCTCTCAAGCCAAACTGCTTGATCATCTGACCGCCAGTATTCACAATCAGGAAGAAGAACCAAGTCACGCCCAGGCACCACACTATCAAGAACCTCATGGCTTTCAGACTTTGGTATCGCTCAGCTGCTGCCAGTGGCTACATCTTGCTGGGTTTACAGCGGCCAGGACGCACGTACGAGTTGGTGTCAAAGCTCCCAAAGATTGGAAATGTGCCTCAATGCTTCATTCCAGCAGATCTGACGAACAGGCACAGCGGTTCGACGGATGTCAGAAACTCTGTGCGGCCACAGATGCCGATGAAGCAAAGATGGTCGGGCCAGCTCCATTCGCAATCTAGGTTACAGCAACAATGTCCAGAAGCAGCATAACCCGTTGGTAGCATGACCCATACAAGACTAGTCAGAACTTCTGGTAGATGGTGGTTGCAAATCGCCGTCCAGGCCGCCCCAGTAATAATCTGCCACAGCGACGACCTCGCGGGCTTTCTTCGTTTTCACATCGAAGTCGTAAGACACGAGGACTGCATTCGGAATTCGGCTCTTGGAAGCAATCTGTTTCTTCATTTTCCTTCCGCATAATTACTTTTGGCGACGGACCGTCGGCGGCGATGGGATGGTGGCCGGCAGTCGCTTCGGTTGCTACTCGAAGGAGGGTATCGGAACCGAAAGCGCAACAAAATAGACTGCTGCTGAGAGACGAAAAGGATGACGAGCAGTGCGGTCGTCATCGGCACCAGCATTGAGGCGAATCTTCCAAGGCGAGAAGGCTTGTAGCCCTCGAACTCGATGACCTCGAGAGCTGGACCCGCCCTCTGATGCCCTCAGACCCGATCGGGTCTGCAAGTTGGCAAGGCCGAGGTGTAATTAATCCTTCGGCACAACTTCGGCAGCCTTCCCTATTTCACATTCATGGGAGTCGATGATTCTGACCATGCCACAAACCTTTCCGTCACCTTCAACGTGCAGTCACGACCAAAGCTGGTTTTTCGGCGCCCTCTAAACTTCGTCGACCAAGAAGACAAAAGGCTCTGTTCTGCGAGTCTGTCACACATTGCCGACAGGCATCCTTGCAGGGCCGCAGGGAATGGACATTCTTGCCCGTTCTGCAAAGGGTAAGAGTGTGCCAAACAGCGCGTCGAAGACAGTGAAGTCTCCCGCCACCCTCCGTTCCCCCAGCCACCCGCCCAAACAAACAACACATCCACCTAACCTAACCCTAGCACTATGCCTAATGCTATCCTTATCACTGTCTCCATCCTCACACTGCCCCCCTATCTATCACTGTCACTACCACTGCCACTCTCACTGTCAGTGCTGCACGATCACTCTCACTGTTACAGAAATACGGTTTCGACTACTATTTCGACTGCGATTACGATTCCTATGTCGGTTACAAAGACATTGCTATCACCTTATTCTTGCAATGCTATCGCTATTGCTAATGCTATTGCTATTGCTATTGCCATTGCGATTGCTATTGTCATTGCCATGGCTATGGCTATTGCTATGGCTATTGCAAGCTATCGCTGTCGCTATCGCTATGGCTATTGCTACGGCTACGGCCATTGCTGTTGCTACTGGTATTGCTAAAACTACTACTGCTACTGCTACTATTGCTATTACTAAGTAGTACCATTAGAATTCTTTCTGCAATTACAATTCATAATTACGACTACAAGTAGCAGTACCAAAACTAATACTGAAACGAGTACTAGTACAAATACTAGTACAAATACTAGTGCTAGTACTGCTACCACTGTTGCTATTACTACTGCTATTACTAGTACTACTTCTGTTGGTACTGCTACTACTCTTACCATTACTATTTCTATCGCTGTTACTCGTGCTATTGCTACCACTATCACTGTCAGTATCACTAGTACAAATACTATTACTATAACCAGTATTATTACGATGAAGCCATTGATATTACTATTACCATTGCTATTATTATTTCTCGCTTTCCTATTCCGACATGACCGGTACTTTCAGTAATACTAGTACTAGTAATAGTACTATTTCTAATGCTATTACTATAGCTATTACTATCATTAATCTCCGTTTGCTATATTACCATTGTTATTACTATTAATATTTCTTTTACTACTACTATTGCCGTCACTACTACTATTACTATTTCTATGACTCTGACTATCACTATGACTATAACGATGACTATGACCACTGCTTTTCTGTTACGATTAGTACCCGCCGACCCGTTGGGAGGTGTTAACCGTTAACCTCCCTTTTTGCCTCCTCCC